AAAAAAAAAAAAAAGGAGAATTAGAAACATAGTTATTTAGTGGTGTAAGAACACTAAAAAAATATTTACAATAAAACTCAAAAAACAAAAGCTCTCAAGCTCTGAAACACTTAGAGAAGTCTTCAATATGTGATAAACTCTAATGATTTCAACAACGTTCTTTTGAGAGTTTTAATTAGTATATATACAACTTTTTCAAGGCAAGAAGTCTTCAAGCTTCCTTCCTTTGGAGTGGATTTCCTTCCTTCAATATATTTCCATCAAAGGACGAGATCTTCAAATATGGAAGCCAAGATCTTTGTGTCCATTGCACTTTGATCAGCTTCCTCTTCCTTTGGATGCAAGATCTTCTACAAAATAAAACAAGAATTATAAAAGCACTATTACATTAAAATTTGCAAAAATAGATAGAATGCAATCGTAAGAGAATAAAGCGAATGTGGATCTTCCCTTTTTTTTCCTTGCTTGCATAGAACATCAGGATGTTATGTTCGTAACTTCTTGCCAAATAATATATTTCAATCTTAAAAGTTCAAATAGGCATAGATAATTGTTAATATCTATATGAACTACTTTGAAGCATTATAAATGGACACTATCAAATCGAAGATGTACGATTAATATAATATATCAAATATGAAAAATTGATTACAAGTTAAAAAAATGAAGCTTTAAAATTTATTTTTAGATTAAGTTAGTCAAATGTTTTATAATTTTTAAAAATCCAAATAGATATGGATAGAAATAAAGTATGTATTAATTAGGGCGACCCACTATTGACAAGTAAGATTATAATACATAATTCATTGAGACCAATCAATACTTCAAATCACACACTCTCATAATCTATTTTTTCTTCTGACAACTTCCCTCAACCTTACAATATTAACTGGATCGACTCGTCATGTTCCCAGTGAAATAGGATCCACACAAGGAAAAGCACTTGTCATGCATTGGTTATTAGCGCCATCACGAAAACATCAGGGTCGAAATATTTCTTTCAAATTAAGATCTAAATTCGTGGATGTAGAGGTGGCTTGGGCCCGGCAGGCCAACAGGCTTGGAATCATGGACCTAGAACCGGCATGGACCTACGCTCGTTTCGGGCCATACCCGGGTCTGGGTCTATCCAGATAAAAAAAATAAATAAAAAGCAAACAAAATGTGGTTTCCTGGGCTGGACGTGACCTGGCCCAGCTCGCCGGGACAGAGTAAAAATAAAAAACAAGGCCCTAGACTGGCCCGATAAAAATCCGAGTCAGGCCCAGACCCGTGGTCAATGGGCTTGACCGAGACTGGTCTAGGTCGGGTGGATGGGCCGGGCAACCCGTGGCCATGCCTAAGTGGATGCTATCAAAGGAAAGAGCGATCCATACGCAAAAATAAGAGGCTCATACCTGAGCTCATTGAAAACCACAATTTCGAAGACTTATTTAAATAGATTAGATATAGAAAATAACCCAACGTATTAAAAATTTGTTTTAAATCATGTACTTTTTACCGTCAATAAAGTAAAATAATTTTTTCTTCAACGTATATACTTAGCGAAGGCGATTATATATTAAGATCATTTAATTTTACAAATTATTTAATATATTTAAAAAGCATACATAAAAGTTCAAATGTAATTTTTTTTTTTCGGAACGATATGTGATACTCATAACTTCAAAAAACAAAAGTTCAAGATACAAACCGAAGAGCTAACTAGCTCTTAATCAACCAACCTAAGGAGCACCACAACAACTTGTGACCTAGAATAAAAACCAAGCTAAGCAAACTAAAATACACAAGCCATGAAAATAAAATCAAATACATCTGTTTGAACCCTCTACCTTCTATAACATCAAAACATTAGAAAAAACAACAAGAGCCAGTTTAAAACAGTAGTACCAAGCTAAGTAAGAAAAAATACAATTGACCACAGGACCTAAGCCTTACTTTTACGGTCTTATCCACTTCAGCACCTCCTCAGTCAAGCATTGCAACCATGGAATTCTGCCCAATCAGCCGTTGTCAGCCTCACCACCTCTGCCTCACGTCTACATTCATTCTGAAAGAGCCACAAATTCCTTATTTTCCATATCCACCATAGTATGCAAGTGGTTAATTGAATTCTGATCTCAGCTACCTAGACATGGCCAAATTCCGGGCCGGGTCACGACCCGACCCGGCCCGCCGGGCCAAAGGGTTGGGTATGGTGGACCCTGAACCGGCACGGCTTAGGTTCGTGCCGGGTCCATGACGGGCCGGGCCGGGCCGGGCCCGGATCTTGACCCGTCCTAATAAAAAAAAAGAAAAAAAAAAAGAAAAATTCAAAAACTATACATTTTTGTTGTGTCGGCCCTGACCCGGCCCGGACCCGTGGTCAACGGGTTTGACCGGGCCGGGTCCGGGCCGGGTCGGGGGGCCGGTTGACCCGTGGCCATGTCTACAGCTACCTTCTTCTTTTCCATTGATGCAATGTAGCGCCACCAGTCTATGAAACTCTGGGTATCGGTCAGTGAATCCCCCCAGTCAAGCGGTCCAAGCTTCTATATCATCTTTGCATTTGGATACTTAAAAAATATATGCTCCACCGTCTCAGGTGCTTCACCACAGCAGTGACATATTTGATCAACCTCAAGGCCTCTTCTCAGTAGATTAACACATGTAGGCAGAGAGTTAGAGAAACATTTCTAGATAAGGAGTTTAATTTTGCCTTTGATTTTCAGCTTCCAGCATCTTTACATGGCTTCTCTATTCTTTCTAGCAGAGTTGATGTCTTCTTCTCTATCCACCTTGAGAATTTTCTATAACATCAAATTTGCATATGTTTTTGCCACATAGAATTGTTCTTTGACCTTTCCATTCTAGCTTCATCTATCCTTTTTCTTAGAATGCAAGGTCTTTATTTTCAAGATTGCTGCTACTTTAGACTTTCCAAATAACACCTCAAACAACTCATTATTCCAACTTCTACCATCTGCATTCAACAAATTAGCAACCCAAGTTACATTTTCCCTCCCTTTAGTCATCCCCTTTGGAATTCCTATAGTAATATCTGGTACCTAAGGGTCACTCCATATTCTGGCACTCTTCCCATCTGCAATCTACAATCTAAAATGGTCTTGATAAACAGTTTTGACCTTCATACAATTAGTCTACATCCAGGAAGAACTTTGAGAATTTTTAGCCTCAAAGATGTTACCCTTAGAAAAATTGTCTCCTTGAGTATTTTACTCATCAACAAGTTGGGCTTTGTGGCTATTTTCCAGATCTGTTTGGTAATCAAAGCCTCATTAAGAAGTTGGACATCTTGAAAACCCAGACTACCCCAATGCTTTGGAGTTGTCATCAATTTCCAATCTTTCTAGTGGCACATGGTTTCTGAGATTCAACTGAACTCTACCAGATCTAAGCACACATTTGAGAAATTTCATGACAGAAGCCTTCAGGAATGCAAAAACAAGACATAATGAACAAAGGCATAGCATTCAATTTCAACACTGACTTGATCAGAACCTCTTTTCCTGCAGTTGAGAGGTATTTGTTCTTCCATCTATTTAACTTTTCCTTGACTGCCTCCATCACAAAGTTAAAGAACTCCTTCTTTCATAGCCAATTCCCAGAGGCATACCTAAATACCTTGAGGATCCGTGCACTGTAATCCCATGAAGGGTCTGACAAATGCCTTGTTGAACTGCCTCAGGTGTATTCCTGCTAAAGAATACTGAAGTTTATGTTCACATTTTGACCTGTAAACATTTAGTATCTCTGGAGAATTTGCAACGAACATATAGCTTAAGAGTTGTTAGCTTCACAGAAGATTAAAGAGTCGTCTGCAAATAACACGTGAGTGAGACATGTCCCATTCCTAGCCAGTTTCAGGCCTTTGAAGTTCCCCAATCTAACTTAATTTCCTATTAGCCTTGAGAAGATTTCTGAAACAATCAAGAACAAGTATGGGATATAGGATCCACTGCCTAATTCCTCATAAGGGTTCAAGATAACCACACAAGTCTCCATTAATGTTGAAAGAACAAGAGGTTGTATAGATACAAGAGAAAATTCATTGCACAAAGGAAGAGTGCAATTCCAAGCTCAGTAAGATCTTAATTATACAGTTCCATTTCTGTAGTATTTTGGAATCAGGATAAATAAATAAATAAAAATAAAGGAAAAAAAGAAAAAAAAAATGTATGTTTGATCTAGGGGGTAAATTGCAAATAATTTTGTTTCGGGGGTGCTCTGTACAAGAAAACTCTGGAGCGTGCACTCACTCGCCTCGCTCACTTTAGTCGCTTCAATACTGTTACACTGCTACTCTCTCTGTCGAGTCCAAACCAATAACGCCACAGTCCTCTCAACTTTGCTCCAAAATCCCCCTATTTCTCTAACTAAACCCCACCACTCTCTCTCTCTCTCTCTCTCTCCTAAATGAAACCCATTGTGAAAAGATGACGGCGCCATTATCCCGCAACCCTCATTTTCATATGTAACACACTGAATCGCAAAGCTTGGCAAACGCTGAAATTCAATCTTAGAATACCTATTTATACATCTCAGAGAGAGGGCGGATGGAGAAAAGGCAAGGGTTTTTCAGGGCCTTGAAGGTGGACGTCGCGCGCGGGTTATCCCCGGGAAGGTCGCGCCCCAGGAGCCCCGGGAAGAAGGCGGGCGCGGCCGAGCCCGATTCGTCGGTCGCGGGATCGGGCAGCTTCAGGCTGACCGGTAAGGCGCTGGCGCCGCTGATTGAGGGCCCGGACCCGGAAGGCGGAGAAACAGGCGGGTCGAAGCGTTTCGGGTCTGGTTTGGGGTCGTGGGTCTGGGACCAACTCATCCGTAACCCGTCAGGTACCAGTGAGAATGGGAGTGGAAACAAGAGGTCCGATCTGAGGCTGCTTCTCGGCGTCATGGGTGCCCCGCTTGCACCGGTGCCAACGTGCGACGCCGAACCTCTGCCCCATCTCAGTATTAAGAACACACCCATTGTATGTCTAGCTCCCTTTTTTTTTTTAATTATGTTGTTTTTCATCATATGCCAATTAGATGCCGGTAAACCTGCTTTAGTATTTACATGATTGGAGTTGATTTATTATTATTTTTATTTGAATGCTGCACATGTTAAAATTGTTTCCTTTAACAAATCTAGGATTTTTAGCTTGAAGTCCATTGATGGCTGAGAAATTAGCTTGGTGATGCAGACTTAGTTTTAAATCTCGATTGATTCTTTTGATCTCTGTCTCTGTTTCTTGATAAACTAATAAATTTAACAAAAGAGGTACAGAATAATGATAAAGAGTCGGCTTAGACTCTTAAGATTGAACCTTTTTTAAAAAGGTGCCCAGAATCTATCGACACAAATGCCTTAATCGCGGAATGTAATCGTGTCTGTTTTCTTAAATCCACATTTTACTTTTATATTCTACTGAAGGAAATGGGTTAATGCTTTTGCAGTAAGAATTTATTTTGGCAATTTCGCAGGAAGCTTCATCGGCACAGTACATACTGCAACAGTACACGGCCGCTTGTGGTGGGCAAAAAGTCCAGGGCTCAATTAAGAATGCTTACGCAATGGGAAAGCTGAAGATGGTGGCCTCGGAATTCGAGACGGCGACAAAGCTAGTAAAGCATAAGAATACAGCTAGGTTAGCTGAGTCGGGTGGATTTGTCCTGTGGCAAATGAATCCTGACATGTGGTACGTGGAGTTGGCAGTTGGGGGCAGTAAAGTTCGTGCTGGTTGTAACGGAAAGCTCGTCTGGAGGCATACGCCGTGGCTTGGGGCCCATGCTGCAAAGGGCCCCGTTAGGCCCCTGCGACGCGCCCTTCAGGTTAGTATTTAATGCCCTACTAAATGAATTTAAAATGTCATCTTCTGCTGGAAATGTTAGCTTATATTTTAAGATTCTGCAATTTAGTTTTGTGTAGTGATTGTCGGGGCCCTCAATTGTATGGGAAAGTTGTATCAAAAAATAAGAACAAATGTTAAGAGAGCGACTGAGTGAGTAATTAAAAGATTGAAAATTTGATGATGCCACTTTATTTTATGAATTTCTAATATAATATGTAGTGGTTTAGCGTGATTGGCCTGATTGATTGAAATTGTGATGAGTTCCTTTTAGATAAAACCATGACTTTGTGTTGTTGATCACATGGAAAGTGAAAACGAGTGAATACTATGAAATTTTCAGTCTCCTACCAAGATTTTCCACACATATGGCCAAAAGTGAAATAAAAAATATCCCCAAAAGTCTGAGTACTCAAGCTGTCAAGCCCAAGCATTCAAAAGCCTGATTTCCCGTTTGACTTCCAATAAAAAAAAAAAAATGCCAACAGGGACTCGACCCAAGAACCACAGCCAGCATATTCTCGGACGCAGTCTGCACAGGCGAAAACAGTATTGATGGAGAGGACTGCTTCGTCCTGAAAGTGTCGGCAGACCACAACACCCTAAAGGCCCGTAGTGAGGGGCCCGCAGAGATTATCCGACACGCCCTGTTGGGCTACTTTAGCCAGCGCACGGGCCTCCTCGTCCACCTTGAGGACTCCCACCTGACCCGCATCCAATCAGGAGGAGGGGATGCTGTCTATTGGGAGACCACCACCAGCTCGTCCCTTGGGGACTACCGGCCTGTGGAGGGTGTCATGGTGGCCCACGCTGGACGCTCGGTCGTGACCCTGTTCCGGTTTGGTGAGGCCGCCATGAGCCACACCAAGACTAGGATGGAAGAGGAGTGGACCATCGATGAGGTCGCTTTCAACGTGCCTGGATTGTCGGTTGACTGTTTTATTCCCCCAGGTGACCTAAGGCCGTGTTTGGAAGCTGGTGAGTTCTCGCAGGAGGAGATGGGGAGTTCGGGGGTGGCCATGGGGTCGCGTAGTGCTAAAGTGGCAGCGTTGGAGGTGTGATGGGGATGTTGATATGTGGGGTAGGCTTTTCGAATGTTTCTCTTTTTTCTTTTTCTTTTTTTGTTAATATAACTTGCTGACGTGTTAGAAGTGACGAGCTGTTAATTTAATCCGGGGATTTTGTTTAGCAGATCTGTTTTCTTTTCTTTTCCTTGCCTGAATTACTGCATAATCTTATAGATGAAGAGGTTAATTTTTAGATTTACCTCCCTAGTCATCGATCAAGGCGATAAAACTCGTTTTTCATGCCCAAGTAAATAGGAGTAATGTTACTGTGTTGCTGCTGTTTTGGTGTTTCCATGTCTTCAGTTCATGCTAAAAGATTTTTCATTGTCCTGCTGGCTGCAAAGTTCCTCATTTATTGCCTTCTCTTTTCTGGAAAAAATTTCAAAACTGGAAAGTGTCTTCTCAGGAAACTGATGGCTAATGAATCATGAGTGCTTGTGTTCTTTTCACCTCTTTACTATGCAAACTTTCAAGTTTATACACAACACATTCATTAATAAACTTTATTTTTTTTTTTCTTTCAATTGAAAATGTGGTTTGTCATACTAGACATTGCTTTATATATGTTAATTTCTCTTTGGAACAATGAAAATTTCTAAAAGGTGTAAAGAAAATGGAGTCAAATGTATTTGTGTCCAAATGGATATCATTTGAGATGAAAAATACTGAACATTAATTGCACATAAAATCTTTATTTTTTGTGTAATTGCAAATACAATTCACCTTTTTTATCTTTGCAAATAAATACCAAACTTTTATTATGTGTTATGTGTTGCAAAATCTTTGTTGATGTGTCCGATCAGAAATCTTACGTGACACTTATGAGGCTTGTATGACATCAATCTTTGAAACTCATCACCATGTTTTTGTCATATCATATGCCAACAAAATAACCAAAATTAGAGTTTAGTACCAATTGAAAAGATAGGATTTTATCACCATGTTTTTTGCTCCATAATCTTCATAAATATCGAGTTTTTCTCCTCCAATTAAAAAAAAAAAAATATTTGCAGCGATTCCTCCTCCATGGCGCACTATTCTTCACCCATAAATCGAGTTCACCCCCAACATTCTGAATACATTTACGAGCACATTCCCAAATTTTGAAAATTGGGCAGATGGAGCGATTTTCGAGTGATTTTTAGGCGATTTTAGTGTTTTGATCGGACACGCCAGCAAGATTGGTCGGAAAATGATTTTGAGACAAATTTGCAACACATAATAAAGATCTGGTATTTATTTACAAATATTAAAAAAAAAAAATGTGTTTTATTTACAATTACACAAGGATTTTATGTGCAATTAAACCTAAAACAATAAACATGATATTTTCAAAAAGAAAACCTATTCTTTTGTCAACAGGTTTTGTTTAAGCATGACATGTAACATATGTATTAACAACTTAAAAATGATTATCATATATAATCTTCTATGTTAACGAATTAAAGCTAAATTGACTGTTTAGTGGCCGATTTTATGAAGCTTAGCTGGATAAGTTTATAATGTGTTAATAATAATAGTACATTCCCAGTCAATATCATCATACCAATTAATTCGGTTGAATTTTTAACCTTATTGATGGCTAGTATCTTATTAGACAGCTGGATGTTTATTTACAATTGCACCATTGCATCCCTTCACAATAAATTCTTTTTTTGACCATTGGAGTTGACCAAGAACTTTGATATTTCGTTACCACATTACATATAAAAATATAAATAAAGTGACAGTTGTCGGACCGAGTTTGTTACGTAGGATATCGTCCCCATATATATATATCACGAATGCGCTGAGTTTACGTGACTGTTTCTGGTACTTTGAAAACTTATTTGGCAAAAAATCATGTTTTATAATTAGGTTTGGACAAATAATATTGATATATTAATAATTAATAATTTAGGTTCGGACATTCCATAAATATTATTTATGTAACTTAGGTATTTTAATATCACTTGTACTAATATAACGCTTTAATTATTTGTAATTTTACAACTTTTGTATTTCTTATCGGTTTTACATATATTATATATCAAATTAATCATATTTTGATGATCTTCGATTTGACATCCTTATTGTATATATGAAATAAATAAATTATATTTATCTTTATAATAATAAAAAATAATAATATTTATTAAAATTCATTAGAAAAATAAAATTATTTATCAATGGATATATTTTTTTTAATGTAGTTATATGTTGTAAGTTAAAAATTATTATAATATAACACAGGTAAGTCGCACAAATAAAATGTGTTATACTAAATATATAATAATATGTATATTTGTAAAAGGTATTTAAATTTTCAACTATTTTTCTCATTAATTTTAGACTTTAAGAAAAAAAATTAGCAAGCACCCGTGAAATACAGGACTGTTATACTAGTAATATAATATAGGTGTTAATTGCCAATTAAACCTTGACCTTTTCACTTTTGGCAATTTAATCTTCTAGATAAATGCAATATAATCTCGGCCTTGTTTTGCGTTTGCAAAATGAGATTAAAACCCGTCGGACGGCGAAAAGGTGCCAGCGTGTCCGGCTGGTTTTATCTACGTGTAACTTTGAGTTTGCTGAGCAAGATTAAGTGAAATACGTGGATTTTCTGAAAAAATGGTATAAAAACGATTTCCTTCCCCAATTTCAGAAATCCCCAAATCGAAATCGACTAACCCTAAATTAAAGCTCAGTGTCTTTTTTCTTTCTTGCAGACGGTAGCTCGCGCAAGACACAATCGTGCTAGTGGAAGATGTCGTCTTCATTTCGCGCAAGCCAGAGTTCTGGAAGCTTCAGTGTTCCTTCGAAGAAGCTCTGTCGCCATGGCGACGAAGCTGATGTGTTCACCTCCATGACTACGAGAATCCATGTAGAAGGTTTCATAGATGTCCTAAGAGGAAGGTGAGCTACGTATATTGTGTGAGAACCCTAATTTCTTCAAAACCCCTAAATTTTATAAACTTAATTAGAAACCTCAATTTCAGAAACCCTAATTTTTCGATTTACATTGTTTAGGACGGGAATGACTGCCGGTTTTTCGAGTGGATTGATCCCGCACTTCCTGAGTTCCAAAAATCTTGTTTTGTGCGACTGAAATCTAAGAACGAGTATTTGGAAGAGCAGCTGAGGCATAAGGTTGCAGTGGAGAAAATGAACAATGGAAAGGCATTGGAAAAAGATGAAATTGTGGACCGTGGCATTGAGTTTGAACAAAAACTGAATGGTCTTGAGGTTGAAGTTCAGAAGAACAATGAAGTCTTGTTGGTTCTGAAAAATACATTAGCACTTATGCATAAATTGGAAAGGAAGATGAATTTTGCAATGATTTGCTTGTTTGTGGTTATTCTGCTTGTTTTCCTTAGTTTGCTTGGGAAATCTAGTCATAAGCAGGGGTCTAAAATGTTGCTTTGAATATTGTTCTTTTTTATCTCATTTGGTGAATGTATTGAACTTAAGAACTAATGTAATCTATTGGTGGTATGTTTTATCTCATTGTTATTGTTCTTTGTTTTTTGTTATGTTTTGTAATTTATAGAAAACTGAGATCACATAGTTAACATAACAAATCAACACATTATCCTTAGATATGCACAATACTTAGACCTGCTTACTTCCAAAACATCACATACTTGACACAACAAACACTGCATCTAAAGAAGAAATCTGAGATGAACAACACACCAAAATCATTACTAAGTTCTTTGAACAATCATTCTTTGTTCAAAACATAACCAAACATAATTCAACATCATTATATTTACAAAGTTATCCATCATTTCTAAACCATTTTTTGTGCCTAAAACAGAAAGCAAAAGTTCATCTACAGTTCAAAACTACTCCAAAAATCAACACCACTCCAAAAGTAAATCTAAGTCAATCATCCATAGTTCAAAAGTACTCCAAAAATCAACACCACTCCAAAAGAAATCTAAGTTAATCATCCTTTGCGAGAAACACTCTCTTGAGTGTCTAAAGCATCCTTAGTCTTCCTCCCCCTTTGCATTTTCTCCTTTCCTCCAGTCTTACTAGAACCAGCACCTCTGTCAGAAATGACATGTACTCTTATTTCTGATGCCAACTGCACTTGTGACATTTTAAGTAATAAAGAAAACATGTCATACACAAAGTATCAAACCAGCCATGAGATTTCAAAAAATGACAAAGATAACAAAGAAAGCTATTAAAGTAATAGTCATACCCTCACGTAGGTATTACCAGTCTTCTCAGACCGAAGGATACCAAATAATTTTCTTGCCTAAAAACAAAAACAATTATAACAATAAATCATCACATAAACAACATGATATATGAAATAAAATATCAACTAAACTTTAATAAAATAAAATGCTATTACCAGAGCTCTTTCCTTTTGAGTTAAAGATGACTGTTGATTTGATTGTTGGTTTGACTGTTGCACGGACTGTTGGCTTGACTGTTGCCTTGACTTCTTTTTTTACAATGAACTTGTGTTTTGAACAGGTGATCCAACATTCTTCTTGGGCCTCCCCCTTAGATTCTAACAAAAAAAATGGACATCAAATTGATGTTTATCATAACATGATTAAATAAGATTTCAAATATAAATAATACCTTTGGTTGTACTATTACAATTATCATCATTATCAACCATTGTAGCTATAAATGTTGAATTTACAGATTGGTCCCGCTTTGCTTGCAATTGTCCGTGAGCATTATAATTTTAATTTTTAAAGTCCCAATCTTGTGGAACATAACACTTCTATGGATGTTTCAAAATTCTTGTTTGTAGTACAAATCAATTTTTTTGCCGTTTTAAACCAAAGTTGCATTTAATAAATGAGAAATTAATTGTAGAATTAAATTGTGATAAAATTCAATTTTTATTATTTAAAGTTGACTTGGGAATTGCTGGTTGGGTGGCCTAGGACTCGAGACATGTTGCGTAGATTGGTGCATAGTAACCGCAACACAACATAGAATTAATCTAACTTGTACTGTTTTGAATGTTTTTTTTTTATATATATTTTTTTTTTTTTTGATGTTTTTATAGTATTTATTCGACTTCATCTAAATTCATTATATAGATTTTCCGGTCTATTAGATTGATTTCTGTCATTTTTATGCTTTTGTGATATTTTTCATTTTTTGTGTATATTCCATCTAAACTATTGAGATGAAAGAAACCAAACTAATAAAATAAATAAATAAATAAATGAATGATAGTTTATCATCGATCATCAACACCATGCAGGAAGCAAACAACAAACTTCTTGAGAAGTTGAAAAAAACAAACGAACGAAGGAAACACCGATTGAAAATGCAAACTAAATCCCACGCTCTAAACGAAATGAGGGAAGAAAACAAAATTATGTTTCAAGATGTCAGTTCCATAAAAGATCTTAGATTTCGAACATATATTGAAGGTGAAAAGACACGAATCGTGGAGAAAAAATAGCTCATACAAGCTAAGCAGATCCGCTTTCAATCAATATATTTGACCAATTTTTCAATGATCTTGAAGGAAGCGGTGTGAACTTAGCAGTACTAAGTTTTTGTGTATTTTTTTTTTCTTGGTTCATAATGTATTTATGTTTTCAATATTGTTTGATGTCCTATTTCATTTTCAATACTAGTTATTTAAATATTTTTTTAGATGGTGGTCTACTACGAAATATTTTAATCTTATTCAATCTATTTCAATAATTTTATCTTTTTTTCTTTTCTTTTATATAATATTTTAATCGTGGTCTATCACGATTTTAAATATATATATTTTTTTTTTAAATCGTGGTCAATTACGATATTAAATATTTTTTGAAAATCATGGTCTAATGTTTTAATCTTATTTCAGTCTATTTCTGTAATTTTTTTCTTTTTTTCTTTTCTTTTATAATTTTTTTGTAGCCTTTGTTATAATATTCTACAAGTAAAATAAAAATATCATAAATAATATGTAGATTATACATATTATGGTGAAAAATACAAAAATTAAGTGACAATATGATATTCATTATTTTAAATATTGTATAATGTAATTTTCATGAAATTAATATTTTATTAGTTAAAACATAAAATTAATATATTTATATATATAATTATATATATATATATATATGTATATATATTACACTACCTATTGTGAAAAATGTAAAATAATAAGATATTCATTGTTTTAAATATCATATTATTTAATTTTCATGAAACTAAAAATATAAAAGATAAATTATAATTGATAAGTTTAATAATATACATAGAACATATTTAATAAACCTACCTGATAAACTAACTTATAATTGATAAGCTAATTTATCTAAGTGAATTTCGAGCTTATAACTGATAACTTATGACTTATATCTGAAAAACTAACTTATATGATAAAAGTGTTTGGTAAAATTAACTGATAGACTAGCTGAAATAGAATTTTCAATGTACTTATTTGAAAACTACCCAAAAAGACTTACGAAATAAACTCAAGCTTTTTAATAAAACTCATTATATTAAACCGAACATATTTGAATACATAAAATTTAAAAGCTACTCAAATAAATTATAAACTTACTTATATCCTTGCCAAACACAACTATAGTACGAAGGGATATTTATAATAAAAGAAAGAATAAAAAGAAAGGTTTGGAAAAAAAACGGGCAAAATTTCATTTTTGGTCCATTATATTGGCCATTTTCCAGAAATGGTCCACTAATTTGGCGGACATCAAACTTGATACAATAAGTTGTAAAATTCATCATTTTTTGTCCATAAGCCTACGTGGCGTTTTATCGAGCAAATACGTGGACAAGTTTGATGTCCACCATGTAGGCTCGTTATCCAGCCCGAGTGACTAATGGACCAAAAATGATGAATTTTACAACTTATTGTATCAAGTTTGATGTCCGCCAAATTAGTGGACCATTTCTGAAAAATGGCCAATATAATGAACCAAAAATGAAATTTTACCGAAAAAAACATTTTCCAACTATAAATCAGCTAGCGCATGAAATTTAAAGGATCGAAGAATGTCAAAGTGTTTTAAAGGACATCAAACGAGCAAAAAAAAAAAAATGTAAAATAATATGAACTTTTAATAAAATGTCCCGCCAAAACACACTTCGAAAGATAAGTAAATGAAAAGAAACCACAAATAATGTGTCAGCAACAATTATTTACAGTAATATAATTACAGAATCTTACAACACTTTGGTGTATAATATATATATCAGCTGGCCCCCAAAATAAAAATAAAAATAAAAATAAACACGAACCTCATTGAAACGCCTGATATACTAAGCAATGCGAGTCCCGTTCGTCGGCAATCGCATATCATGAACCACACCGACACCCACTGTTAAATTATCCAACGATATAAGTTACCGGAAAATATTCCTTCAAAGATTCTCTGCATCTCACGACACACCAACTCTGACATCCAGCTGTGAAGGTGACGATGATGTGCGGCTGTGATTTCTGCTTCTATGAGAATCCTCTGCCTGAGAGGCCAAGTACTCGAGCGCCAAAACAATATCACTAATCAAGGGCCGAAAGCTCGCCTGCTCCTGAAGGCACATGGATGTGATTGCAATGGCATGGTGTAGACTTCGGGCTGAAAACCGACCCTCCAGAAGTGGGTCCACAATCTGCGAGAACTTCCTTCGGTCCTTTAGGAAAGGACGGGACTGCCCACAAAAATTTAGTTAAAAAAAAAAAAAAAAAAAAAAAAAAAAAAAAAAAAACAAAAGCACACACGTCAAGCGTTTAGGAGGGTAATTGGAACATTTGCTTTTATAAATATTATACTAAACCTCAAGAATAGCACTCATAATCGATATATGCTTATGTCAAGCTTAGAAAACCAAAATTTGCATCAATCCTCATCAAAACAGAAACATATCTAGGAGCTTGTTTTAAAACAAGCTAGCTGTAAGGCAACATATATACTTACCCACACTACGAGATTTTGTTCCCCGTGCACCCTAGTCGAGTCGATAGCCTTGCGGCCCGTAATAAGTTCCAAGAGGACCACCCCAAAGCTGTAAATGTCGGATTTTAGGGTGAGCTTGCCACTCATGGCGTACTCTGGGGCACAGTATCCATAAGTCCCCATCACACGGGTCGAAACGTGAGTGTTGTCACCGACCGGGCCTAGCTTGGCGAGGCCAAAATCGGACAGCTTCACATTGAAGTCATCATCAAGCAATATATTTGAAGATTTCAGGTCACGGTAGATGACGGGTGGATTTGCTTTGCAATGGAGATACTCAAGGCCACGGGCGGCCCCAACAGCTATCTTGAGTCGGGTGCTCCAGCTCAGCGGCTTCTTACCGGGCTCCACATCTAAAAAACAAAAAATAAATAAACAATGTCAAGGGGTACAAGTAATTTTGAAAGGTATTTTTTTTTTCTTTTTTATTTGTTGACAAAGGTTATATGTAATTCTACTCTCCCATTCGTTATTTATTTATTCGTTTGTAATTGACTAAATTACAATTTAGAGGGTTATATTTACAACTAAATAAGATGACACTCAATGACAGCGGTCTTTAACTACAAATTTTTCGTTTTCAACTTCAGTTCCTTATCCCTTCTGTGCGGGTTCTTTTCACTAACACATATAACAGAATAAATAATGCATTCCAGACAATCATTGTATTAATGAAATACAATAGTTAAATAGTCGCCAAACTTGAGTGATTACTGTATCGAATCCTTCTAAGTGATGAAATCAAAAATTTGGTGAAAGCACATCCACAGCAATGCAATAGCTAAGACTTTGAATACTGTTCTCAACAGTAATGCTAGCTAGCCGAACGTGCAACGTGGTATTCTGCATCTAGAAAGACAAAAAGAAAAGAGCATAAAATACAAATAGAACAAGACTGATCTTTCATAACAGAACACACTCAACATTTGCTTTTTTATTACAATTGCACCGTGAGGGAGGGTAGTTGTTGACCCTCAAGAAGGATGTTGTTGACCGTTAGAGGAGTTACCTGTAGTTTTTTAAAGGCAAATTAATTTTTTTCATAACTAGGCTAAGCCATAAAGATAGAATTGGGATCTGTCAGAAAAGATCACAATGGCTTTATCTGCTCTCAAAAGAAAAGCAAAAGTAAAACAAATTGGATGAAAATGGACCTCATGGAGCAAGTTAGCCGAACTTTATTTTCTCATATATCACCTAGACCTCCTCAACAATTAAGGGTGAAAATGAGGAAGTGGCATGAACATTGGAAAACTATCAAGAGCCAGGAATCAAATAAACTTGAGAATTTCAACGTGAGAAAAGTTTTTTTAAAAAAATACCAAATAGGTGATTCTCCAGGCTACCCATTGACATGAACTCGTAAATGAGGAGCCTTTGGTCACCATCCGTGCAATAGCCAATCAAATTCACAAGGTTAGGGTGGTGTAGAAGACTTAGCATAAGAACCTCTACAATGAATTCTTGATTCCCTTGATGTCCTTCAAGATTGAGCCGCTTCACAGCAACAACCTGAATAAGAAAACCAAATTGCTGGGTGATCCACGAAATTTAATTATGTAAAAGGAAAGCCAAATGGCATATTTCAGTCTAACAAATATCATGTAACTGATCAGTCTTAATATTCCATTGTTTTTCAATTGTAAAAACGAAGATATTATCACAAAAAAGAGAATGCTTGCAAAACTTTAAGCTTTTATAAGGGTGATTTGTTTTACGGAATTTAGAATGATTATAAATTTATAGTGATTACAACAAGAAGCTATGGAAAAAAAAAAAAAAAGAGGAGTTTAAACAATGTTTGGTGACTAAGTCACTGCATATGGTTAACGCAAATTCCATGCCTTCTCCTACTTTTCGTAGATTGTGAAGGAATATGATTTAATTTTGTTGAATCTTGGCAGATTTGAACTTTTCATAAAACTCTAAAATATTTCCATCTCCACCGAAAGTAAGAATCATTTTTTTTTTTCAAAGTGTCTGCAAATATGCCCTTTTGGGTGTGCAAATATATACATAATATATACTTTTTACTGCATCATGCCTTCCGCAAATTTCCGCTACGCCATCCGCCATACATATATGGCGGTTTTTTGCCTCGCCGCCATCCGCGGTCGATAACATTATTAGTGTCTCATTATGAGAAAATGAAAAAAAACAAAGAGCTTACCAAGCCAGATTCAAGACGAGCTTTGTAAACACTTCCAAAACCACCTTCACCGATCAAATTCGTGTCCCTAAAATTCTGTGTAGCCATTGCAAGCTCTTTGAATGTGAAACTACGAGCAGCTTTACCCTTGTGTGAATTGCTTTCTTTGTCATTTGCTCTCACAGAGCATCCCTTCTTCCCACTAGCTGCAAAATCAAAGCAATAGGAAATCCGCACAAGTATTAATTTGTATATAGAAAAAGCAAAATCAGATCTTTGATAGCTACAGTAATCATCATACCACTACCATTAGTGTTCGCCTTTCTCTTCCCACCAACTGCATAAGAGAAACATAAACGTGGCACTTAAAATCAAGCACATACCACAGAACGGAAAGTATGGATAAAAAGAGGAGGAAGGAAAAATGAACCTGAAAAGTCATTTGATCTTTGACCCATATCTGCATCACGATCCCTCACGTCTTTAGTCTGAGGGCTCATGCAGGAAAAGCAACCCATTGGTTTTTTTTTTTGTTTTTTTTTTTTTTTTACAGCTCTACCAACCCCTACCTCTCAAATACTTTTCCACAGAGATTTTGATATATAGGAACTTACAGAGAGACAAGTGCCCAGTTAAAGTTCACTGCAACCATTTAAAAGCCAAAAATCAAAAGAAATTAATAACAAAACGTAAATTAGTTAAAAAATAATTGCATTCCCAGCCCCCAGTTCCATATTGCAAAAAACCCAGATCATAGAAAATAAATAGATTGCATACTCAAACATCTAACCAAAGGTAAAACTACTGCAATACCCAGAAGTACAACACAACCAAACAATTTTTATATCAGCACTCGAGTACGCATATAAAAAAGGAAAATATATGGTACAATTTGTTAAAAAGTTGAATATTCTTAATGGAAAAGAAGAAAGGAGAACAAAACAATAAAAGAATAAAAAAAAAATAGAGATTTTAATCGACTAAAGTAAGCCCAGATTTATGCTACCAAATCCGCTCCCTTTCCCCCACAGCCCAGAGCCCTCTTTCAACCCCAGTTTTAAAGATTAAATTCTTTGCTTTTTCTTCGTACTAGGAATGAAGAATTTTTTCATTCCCGTGAGTAGTTTAGTGTGTGTAGTTTGTGCAGGCCTTTTGTGGAAAGCAGGGAGCAACCAGATTGAGTGTTTTTAGGCCACTTCCATTCACACAGCTAGCATTTAAACGTTTTGGGGTCATAGATTAAAGAGCATTAGAAAAGCATGCCACTGTGCCTCATTAACCCAGTCCTTAAACATAGCAGCACAAAGCAAGGCTATTTCTGTATAATTAACTTTCACCAAGTGTTTGCATCACCTCCTCAATAACGCAAGCAGAAAATATAAATAAAATTCAAGACTAAAAAAATTGTTGAAATTTTTGGCAAAATAAATACATTAATGGGCATCATGGAACCTCAAAAAGCAGCTTGTCAAAAAATTTTGGAAAATAGAATTGAAAAAACATCAGTAAGATGCTTCATTATCCTAAAATAAACTAAAAATTGTTCCCCAATGGTAAATGCTATTTAAAAGGAAAAAAAAATGCTAAAAAGAATTAAACCTAGAGAAGACTGGTATTGAAATAACCCAAAACATTACTTTGAATGAAAGAGCCCTAACTAATCCATCTTTTATCTGAAAGAACATGAACAAATATAGACAAGACGTATCAATTGACAAAACTTGCTGTAGTTCCACCAGTAGGCTATGGATAAACATTATTATGATTATTTATCACTCATCAGATAGAACATACAACATAAGATCAATCCAAATCAGAGCTTCATGGCCTCTACATTTCTATCTTTCAAGTTGCACTCTACCCGGAAAAGTAAGAATCTTAAATGAAGCAAATATAAAAGTAACAAGAAGAAATTACCAGTACAACTGAATCAATTACAACCCACTCCCAAAGATACCTTAATCAGCCAAACACCAAGCCCATAAATAAAAAGGACCACCGAAAAGCTCAAACATTGCTCATTCTACCAACACCATCCGAAGTAATATGCCCTCACACGAAAATAAGATAAAAGAAAAAATGGAAAATGATTTCTGGCAAACTGGAGATCCAACCACCAGAAGAAAACCAAAACTACTAAATCATTGTTCCAATTGTTCAGCAAAACTCTAAAATGCAGTAAACCAAAAACAAATGAAAACCCAATATGGAGCACACTTACAGTCAACTGTTAAACTGAGGCAACGTCAGCCATCATTTAATTTAATTTTATTGTTTTTTTTTTTTTTTTCTGGTTGAAGACAAAATCAAATCAATTCCAAGAGGGCTAACAAGGCTTTACATCATTTATCCTGAAAACCCAAATTTGATTGGACTAAACTAAACCAAAAGCTAAGGACTTAAGGCACAAACAAAAGTTTCATCATCCAACATTAACACCCATAAAGACAATAGATTTCCTTTTTAATTCACCAAAAGAAACAAACAAGATGAAAACCCAACTTCGTGGAACTATGGAAATGCAAAAAATAGAAGGATTACCCGTAATTATTTAAGGAAAAAGGTTGGTAGATTGATGTAGCGGTCGGAGGCGTGGAGCTTCGCCCAACAACACACAGCCACGCACTGAACCATCGAACGGATAAAATCTCATAATGTGAGTACAATCTACAGATCGAAAACGAATAAGGGAATTAATGTAAGAAACGAAGGTCACGAACCTCCAGAAAAATGGGCCGTTCATCTCGATCGCCAGAATGCTAAAGAACAAAAAAAAAAAAAAA